TAAACTAAGGCCAGGTGCAGTGGCTCATGCCTGCAATTCCAACACTTTGGGAGGTGGAGGCAGGAAAATTGCTTGGAGCCCAGAAGTTTGAGATGAGCCTGAGCAACATAGTGAGACTGTATCTCTACAAAAAGGGAAAAAAGAAGAAAAAAAAACCTCCACAAAGAACTACAGCGCCTGTAGTCCCAGCTCTTTGGGGGTGGGGGCTGAAGTGGGAGGATGGCTTGAGCCCAGGGGTTTGAGGCTGCAGTGAGCTATGATTGCACCGCTGCACTCCAGCCTGGGCAACAGAGTGAGAACGTGTCTCAAAAAATAAATAAAATTAATTTAAACAAATTTAAAATAGAAGAATTCTTAACTCTGAAACAGAGTACAATTATAAATAATAAACAAGACCTATAATAAACAACAAACGTGAAGGCAATTAGCTGGGGAAATGAATAGCTAAATTAACAGATTAACTTTATTCTTTAAAATACCAATTTATATCAAGCTGTAATCAAACACACAAAAATATGTTAGTGTATTTAAAAAACCATGGTTTAAAAGAGAGAATTAAAAGCTAAGAGATTCAGTTTAAAAGCAATATTGAAGTGCAAGTTTAACCAGTGGTGTGCTGGTAAAATGTTTAAAAGTGGCTGGGGAGAAGGGAGGAGGTGAGCCTGATATATATTATTTGCTAATTTTTATGGTGTAAATACTTTTACCATGGCCAATTTCAAGCTACCATGACATCAACCAACTTGCAAAAATTCCTCAAAATTTAACAAATGCTTTTTGCAAGCTGTGATGAACCAGTTCTAAACTATGTAGCATACCCTGGAAGTATAATTCATATTAACACACAGTATAGAGTTATCTAAGTGACATTAGTTATTTTCTCACCTGTTTTGCTCACTATGAGTATTTGAATTTAAAGTATAAAATCGGGCAGGAGCTACTTTATCAACATATCTATCTATAAAATAACTAGGTTCTTTATATTCGCTTCTCTACCTTAGGACTTCCAGTTTTCGTTGAGAATGACAATATTTTTTCGTTAATTTAGACATGGCTGTATATAATAACTGTGCAAGTTTTATTTGAGTAATAACACCCAGTTTGCTGTAAGAACCTAGAGAAAATATCTTGTCATATGCAATAGATTTGTGTCTATATTGGTATGTTATGAGTGTTTTTTTCTTGGTCATTTAGACTTGCATAAGCCACACCTGGCCCCACGTTGCTCTGTACTGGGATGGTGACATCCTTGGGTGAGGATCCCTATGACTATTTCTGGATGTTTTTCATGTTGTCAGACATTATTTGAAGTTCATTCTAAATACAGGCTGCTTATCAACACCAAGCAAGGCTGTCTTCCTCTAGTGCTTTGTTAAATGATCAGCCACCAGTTACTTGTTTCCCCAGGAAAGGCTCTTTTTCCACTTGTATGGCTCTGTGGCTCTCTCTGTGTGTGCTTGTCACTCTTGTCCTCTCAGTTCTGCTGGGCTGTGGTGGTGGAGAGGGTTTTCACTCTGTCATGTGGTAATACAGTAAGCTTGTTATAGGGCCTAGGCTAAAAACAGATCCCCCTTACTAAGAAGACCCTGCATTATACCTTTAAATGTACCCTTTGGCAATAGCAGCCCAGGAGTTTATGATTTAATCATTTCATGCCTTCTAATTATGTAGGCTATAAAGAAATAGAAACATTCCTTATTTGCTAAAGTGTATTATAGTCTCAAGATTCGCTTGAGTCAATGTTTTAGAAGTCAATACATTTCTCAGTGGCATTTCTACATTGTGGGTCTGTTTCTAGTAGGCTAGTCTTCTAAAGCCCGTTTAATCTACAGCAGATTTAAATAGTGACCACGATGTTCCTGAGCCTTGGTTCCTTTAAGCCAGTCCTGAATATATCTGATGATTCCTGGATCTCTCTGAGGCCCAGAGCCCTGAGGTAGTTGGGAATTTTAGCAGGATTTAGGCTGCATGGCTCACAGAGAAGAGATGGGGCTGCAGCATATCTGTAGCCTTGGTGATTGATGCCTAATTAGGTGTTTTAGACACCTGGGTTAGAATCATTTCTGTGCCATACCACAGTTCTACTGAATTGGAATCCCTGTGTTTAGACCAGGGAATCTGCACTCTATATGTCATTCTTGAGCACATATTTGAGGACAGATTTAGCCACTGGGCACACTCCAGCAGACAGCATCTATGGCAGAAGGTTCTGGTAGCAGAGAGATAGGGCACCATTTCTATGTACATTTCTGTGTACAGGTAGTTAGTAGATTAAGGTTGGCCTATAATAAGAAAGTAGGAAGCATAATCCCTAAAAAACTTTCCTTCACACAAACTTGACTTCTCTTAGAAGCCTTATTTCTTTCTTGAGCATATACTTTAGGACTATTTACATTTATTCTCTTTTCTTCCATCTCCTCAGTGTCAAGTACTTCACTTTCTGGAATTAATTCAGCCCAGTTTTCACCCATAGCATGTTTATTAACCATTTACGTACACTTAAAAGCCCAGCAAGACCTTAAACTTTAGAAAGAGATTCAAATTCTCTTTGTGAGATAAAAGTAAAAACTCAATTCTTCACATTCCTTTCAGTGGAGATGTAATTATTAGTGAGCACATCAGTCTGTGCCAGTTTTAAGTTAAACTGAAGTTTGCTGAAAAATAATAGAAGGGGAAGCATATAATAATACTCTGTTACATTAAGACAGGTACTCTGTTTCTCACAATTTCTCATTCAAATGGGGCCTACACAGGGCAATTAGGAATTATTTTACTCTAGTTTGCTTAATTATGTTTGAGGACCATTTATTCCCATTATTTGAGAATATCCATTTGCACAAAATTATTTGATAGTGATTTAAGCTACTTTGAAACAAAACATGTTTGGTCAAATATCTGTGATGATTATAACTGACAAGTCATACCTGATAAATGCATGACCTCACTGAGAAAATGAAAGGCTGATGTCTGTCAGCTTGGGCTGAAAATGAAAGGAAATGATGTGGAAAAAGACAGCTGAGGAAGTTATCTACCCTATCCCATGTTCTGTCGAGAGAGCAATTTAGGTGATCTGAGAGCTGTATGGATTAGAAGAAATACTTACCTGGCTACACAGAACTAGGTCAGTGGTGTAGACTAGGATTCTCCCAATTTCTACATTTAGGTACCTGAAATGTCTAGAAGAGCAATAACAGCAGTTTATTGCATGCTTATTCTGTGCCATGCACTGTGCTAAGCATTTTTCTTACGTTGTTCAAATTAGTGATCATTACAGTTCTATAAAACAAGTAATGTTACCACTCCTTCTTTATTCTCATCTTTAATTTTTCTGTTCAATGAGAAGTACTGAGGCTGACAGTAGTTGAGAAACTTACTCCTGGTCACATGTATCTTTAAATTGTAGAACTGACCTCAACCTAGGCCACAACTCAGAGTGCTTGTACTTAATTACCATCTTTTAGTGCTTCTCTTTGCTATCTTAATCTGAGTCACTTACTGAGCTATATTTTATTATCTTACATTTTAATGTGCCTGTCCCCTCTCACTAATTAAATTATAAATGCCTTATTAGCAAGAACTTTGTCGTTGACTTTTTGAAGTCTAGAGCATCTACCATGCTGTTAATAAAGCATGTGTTCAATAAATGTTCACTAAGGTGGTGGTATTTACATATTTGAGATTATAAATAGTCTGCATATACAACTCAAAATTGAAAGACCTGGATTCAAGATCTGGAGCAACTATTACATATCCAGCCCAGTATTGTCTCTTTATACTTTTAAGGTAAGAACTATAACCAAACAATATTAAGTCATAAGTTGACATGAGAGTGTCCAAAATATTTGTACTGGGCATGGTCCCTTCTTGAACTGGAAAAACACAATCATGAAATTCTCCTTCAATGGGTAAGGGTAGTAGAGTTGCTGCATTGAAAGTGTCACACTGATGGGTGGTAATACAAAAAGAAAATACCATATTTTGTTAGTTAAGACTAACAGAAAAATGTTGGGTGTTTTCAGTTAGCAATAGTGATTGTACTGTATGTGGTACCATCAAATTTAAAGGTGATCCTGCAACATGGTCTGCAGATACTTCAAGTAATTAGATGAAGCCGTAACTGCTCTGAGGCAAGAAAGATAAGCCTTGGTTACTGGATCAAGCAATGGGCCACAAAAGGCACTGAATCTTCACTGTTGTTGATTTAATACTTAGCATGGCTTTTCTTTTTAATAAAAAGGAAAGAGTTATGATAATTTGGAAGGATTGATCTGCCCTCCTATTAGCTTGTCTCTAATTTTTCTGCCCATATCCTTGGAGAGTTGGTGCAAAGATTCTTCATTTTTTTTTTTTTTTAATTATACATGTTATAAGTATTCTTAGCTGCCTTGGGATACCAGTTCTTCCAGTGGATTTTCTGCCTGCAATATCCATAGACTTCCCTATCTATAGGTTCCTGATTCATAGAGAACAGAGGATATTTTGGTCTTGTTTTTATCTGAAGGGCCACAAATTTTTTGATTTCTATTTTGCTAAATACCCAAGCCCTATGAAAAGTCAGTGATACACTGGAGATCTCCAAATTGGCAATTTCTCATTCAACCTTTTTTTTTTTCTGAGTCTGTATTTTATATCTGAGCCTCATATGTTTTTTCTTCCATATTCACATTTTATGTCTGAAAGTTTCCTGAAGTCAATTTTTAAAGTTTCCTGTTGATTCATCTTTATTTTATTTATAATTTAGAATCTTTATCCAATTGATATTTAAGAGGAAGTCTTCCAAAATAGCCTTCTGTAATTTTTTTTATTTTTCTTGCCCCCTAAAGGCCACTTAATTGTTAAAATGTATTATCATTATATTTTAATGAACAGCTGGATTACTTAAATATTCTCCTGGTCTTTCTTATCCCACTGTTTTTAACCATTTTTTTTCCCACCTGAAGGTCTAACAATTAAGTGAACTAGTTGGAACAGAACTGATAGTTCAGGACAGTAAATATTTAACAAGTCTGCAACAAATTTTTATCTTTCTGGGTTAAAAGAAATTCCTTAACACTCAGCTCAAGACCAGGGTTTAAATTCAACCTCCATAGAATAGCCTTCTGATCTAGCAGTTTTAAGTAGATTTGGGCAGTGTGCCCATTCCTTTCCTGTGAAAATTCCTGAGGAAAAAGTAGCTTGTTTAGAAGGTCAGGGGAAGGAGCAGAAGGAACTGAAGGGATGTACTGAGTGGTAAAAATAAAACTGAGTGAAAAGAAATGCAAGGAAGGCAGGTTTCAGAAGGTTACAGTGTCAAATGTAGACACTGCATTTTGGAGTCAGCATTTTATTTTGAGGCCTCAGTTTATTATGTAAAGAAGCTAACTAATGAGTGTTGGTATTTGTCTCAATATTTAAAGAGCTCCTCTTAACTGTGTTGTTTATTTTTACATGTCCAAAGTTCACCATAATGGCTACAGTTATTCTCATTTTTTAAAAGTTTATTTACTATTATTGATACAAAAATTAGGGTTGTCATTTAATAGAAATAGGAAGCAGAAACTCTTCTAGTAGGAGGTTGTAGTTTTGATATAGAGAAACCTGTAACATAAAAGTTAATCAATAGTATGTGCTCATGAGAAGTGTTTTGGGTTCGTTAAGCAAGCAGAGGCTAGGACAGAGTTGTATGATTAATAATCTGACAATTACTGATTTCGTATTATGTACTATACAAAGTGACTCATGCATGTATTGACAAGACAGAGAGTGTCCTCTTGAAGGTTTTGTAGGGAATCTAAGGCAAAATTTGATTAATTACTTTTGCATAAATTGGTTGCCAGCCTACCAGACTTCCAACCATTAGTCTTTGGGGCAGTGTGAATAGGACTGAAGACTTCTTAGGCCTATGCTTCCATCTGTTCTTTATAGAGCACTTTTGTGTTCATTCAGTGATACAAAACAATTCAAGACAAAACAAAAACACATGAGACAAGACTCTGTACAAATTGTCAAATAAAAGAAAGCAAAGCAAGCAGCCAAAGAACAAGCAGGCTAGTGGCAAAAATATTCATTGAATGGTGTGCCCCCAAACCAAAAGTTCTAAGAACTTTATACAAAAATTAGGTCTTATTATTGATCAGGTGAATGTACTTCCAAAACTAAAACTTGAGTTACTCTATGCAAAGACTTAGGACTAATGACCTTATATAAAGACCTGTACGGTTACAAAATCCTAGGATAACAAATTAATTTAGCAACAAGAGCTCAATGAAGCAAATCAGAACTCAGATTGTTGTTGAGACAGACTCACCTGGAATCAAACTGAAGGACAAATGGAATTTGGGAACAAGGCAGAAAGAGAATGCACCTACTAGTCTAAGGGTCACAGAGAATGCTGCCAAGTGAGGGCGTTCAAAAATGGTACAATGAGACTTCCAGAATTGGCAAAGGATAAGACCATCGCTCAAAATATGACTTAAAAAAACAAAGCTAAATTTATTGCTTAATGAAGTAGAGCTCTGCTGGTGAGGCATAGTCTCATTGAGCAAAGCAAACTGAAGACCACATGTAGGCGTCAGAGGCTTGTTTTGGAGTTTTGTGTGTTATGGAAGCAAGATGGGTTGACATAAATCTGAGAATATGTCTTTTGTTCAATGTGTTGGATATAGAGGTGAAAACAGTAAGTTTTCTGGAGTGAGTCTTTGTCCACTTGACTGACTTTTAAAGGAATGAGGCTCTCTGTTGGCTTTTGGTATGGGTTGTTGATTGAAGTAATTGTTACTTACTTTGGGTTTAAAACCAGTTCTGGTGTTTACTTTTATCTGAAACTGAAATTAGAAACTGATTAAATGTATTAAAAACCAGTTCAGGTATTTACTGGCAGTTTTAGAAGATGTAGTCTTTTTCCGTGAGTGTAGGAATAATTTCATGTATTTATAATGGATGTGCACATAAATTTACTGTTATTTTTCAAATAACATTTATTTCATATAAGCTTTTTATACTGACATGATCAACTCATGTGTTGATATGTTCCACATACTTATTAGTAGCTGTGTGTTATCATATTAATGTACCATAGCTTGTATAGCTATTTCTCAATTGTTGAGCATTTGGATTTATTTCAGTTTTTCATGGTTACCAAGTCATGCTGTAATACTCCTTTTGAATAATTTCCTGAAAGATATAGTCTCCAGAGGGAAGCTAATAAAATTAATCATGATTTTAAAAAGTTAGATGATTATTTCATTTGTAAGCTAAGTATAGTATAGGTCCATCACTTGACCCAGTTGCCTGACTGAATTTAATCTTAAAAAGTATTTGTGGCTTCATATGTTTTTATCTGAGCAAATTAGGCTAATTTGTATTCTTGGTTTTTATCTCTACTTATATGCATACATGAGCAAATCAAGATTCTGCAGTGTAGAAAAAACTGATAGATTTTGACATAAAGACTGAATTTCATAGAAATCCATACATGATGAGTGGAAAGCATATAAATTATCTAGGGAGGGATGGGGGATAGTAGGCATGCTCCTCCCTATTCATGAGAACCAATTATTAAATATACAGGAATTATATAAACCAGTTATTAAACTTTTAATAGCTTGGAATCAGCTATGATGGGTATATTTACACCACAGAAATTGGCAAATGCTACAAATCAAGGCTTTCATTTTTCTTTTTGTCAGAGAGCCAGTTTATCAGCACATCACTGGATGAGAACATCAGGCAGGAAACCTAGGAGTTGGAACATTGCCATTAATTTCATGATTACTTTATATATTGGTAATTTTAAAAATGAAACTATATTTGCTTCTATACCACACATGGTCCTCATTATTTTGAATTGGGAAGATGCCAAGTGAAAAAGAAAGATTAAAAGCTCCCAAGAAATATGCAAAATACAGCCAAATCCACATACTTGGTTTCATTTATCCTGGTTCATGAAACTCTATTTTGCAAAAGTTACTTCCCAGCTAAATCTATTTCCAAAATACATGTTTTAGGAAGAAATATTCAAAATACAAATTATTATATTTTGACAAAAATTGTGGCAAAAAATGGACATCTATTTAAAGTTAGCAGGCTACTTAAAGAGGGTGGATGTGGGTATTTTTAATTCTTTTCTCTACAAGAATCCCTCCTCTCTCCCACAAGAATCTACAAAACAAAATAAGAGGGAGGAGAGGCTCCATCTTATGGAAACAAGAAAGATCCATAATCACACACCACTTAGAAGTGACCCTGTTTAAGGAAAAAAGATGTGATTCAAGGATTTTATGTCCAGCAAAATTGACTTTCAGGTATAAAGGGCCACAACTATTATCAACATGTAAAATTCCAAGGAATATTGTTCCCATGACCCTTAATGCAAAATCTACTAAAGAATGAATTTCAGATCAGCAAAGATGACATAAGGACTAGGAATGATCATTAAATGTGTATTTGTTTGTGGAACTTAGACTAAACGAGGGACAAAAGGGAGAGAACATCATATGTAATGTCTGTTTTCTTCAAATAAATAAATGAATAGATAAACTAAAAAGTAGGAGAATGAGGAGAGCATGTGCCAAATTAAAAAAAAAAGAACTTTCATTAAGTATTCCTAGTAGTTGATGGTGGTACTGGTACTGCTACTCTGCGACTGTTGGGTATGTATTATAGCATTGAAAAAATGAGTAATTATGGGATATCATAATTCAGCCATCCCTGATGCATTAACAATCAAGACTCTTGATTCAAGATTATTGGATAAGGAGATCTGGATATAATATAGACATTCAGTGGAAACTCTATAGTCCTGA